TTCCTACAACTAAAAAGCTCCAAAGTCATGAACTTTTTCTTTCATCATACTAACACAAACTTACCAAAATTCATAATTATTTTTGTTTAAAGTATTTTGATAGGAGCAATAGCTTTTCACTTGTTTTATTAAAGAATTATTTTATTGAACTTAATATTTTATTTATGTATTTATTTTAATTTGAGCAGAGAGGGACAGAGTGAGAGAGAGAGAGAGAGAGAGAGAAAGCAAGTCACCAGGCCCGGGACTCAAATTGCAGTCAGCCATGTGGAAGTCCAGCACCCTTAGCCACCATGCTACCTGCCAGCCCCTACTATAAATATTCTTAGTATTAGTTTGTAATGTCTTAAAGTAAATTTTTAGGTTGAAATCCAAAGTTATACAGGATTTGAGATAAGGTGAAATAATTTTAAAAATATATATATGTAATAACTTGACCCTTACCAACTCTTTCTGGTCTTTATCTAAGACTGAGTTTTTATTGGTGGTAGTTTAGATTTTAATCTGCAAACTATTTCAATAAACATGAATAAAACTTGGATTCTCCCAATGATGATTCTGAAATGAGTTAGTAAAGGACATCATTTGAACAAAGTGTTCCTTTAAAAGAATGGAGTAATAAGATAAAAAAAACACTAAGGAGTTAGAAAATTTGGTAAATTCTATGAAATTAAGGCCAGAATATATTTTTTTCCCAAGAAAATCACTCTATAGTAGAGGTAGAAAGTAACACAGGATTATGTACTTTAACATTTTCAAATTTACTAGGAGAAAACAGGTATAGAATGGCTAAATGCCTTGCCAAATGTCTCATAATCAGAGAGTGACAAAGCTAAGTCACTGACAGTTGATATGTTTTCCCCACTACATTATCATATTAATAGAAAAACCTATGAAACTGACAATTAAAATTCTTTTTTTTTTTCCTTTCTTTTTTTGGAGAGGTTTTTGCTATAGGGCACGTGCACTCGCCAGAAAGAGACAGACAGACAGAAAGCAAGAAATCACCCCCCGGGGAGATGGCCATGCCGCAATCCCTTCTCCTCCATTCTCCTCTCGGGATCTTGGGCACGCACACACACGCGTGCGGTGTGAGTTTAAGCCACCAGGTCCAGGACTCGAATGACAGTCGACTACATGGGAGTCCAGTGACATAGCTATTAAGCTAACTGCTGGTCCCAAAATTCTAAAATACTATAAAATTATAAGTAATTTCTTAAAATATTCTAATTTTAAATAGTTGTTTATTTTGTTTACCATTGTTTTATTTATTATATATATACATGTATACACACACACACACACACACACACACACACACACATATATATATATATATATATGTATATGCATTCAATTAAATAAATATCTTTAAAACTCAGGAATAAATGTTGAAAGAATAATAATTGTCAAAGTACTCACAAACCCAAAAAGCAGAAACAGGTTAAGGGGATGCTTATGTCTGTTTAAAGTCAATGCAAAAATGAATCCCAACGATCCAAGGGCAAACACCAAAATTAAGGCAGGACTGGAAGACACAATATTAAAAGCATTTCAAGTTAAAACACAGCATAAATAGAATTATCAAATTAAATAAGATGTATCTATTTTATGTGTTTATGAAAGTACCAGAAAAATATAACCTGGAATGATTCAGATTAAACAACAAAAAGAAATTATTTCTGCAGCTAGAAAACCTGAACTGTGTAAGGTGGGGAGGAGCAACAGGACAAAATGAGTCCATAATGAATAGGGAGAACTTTTTCCTTTATGAACCTCTATCATATGGTAGTTGAATGTTTGCAAGCAGCATATTCCTTTTATAACTAAAATTAAGAAAATATATTTAAAAATAAATTTTATATGTAACTACTTCTTTTCCTGGTTTCCTTTTTCTTTTTTAAATCAATTTGCCAGAGGGCATGTTTGCTTGCAAAAGGAAAGGAAAGCAAGAAAGCACCCACTATGGGGTCATGTTGCAATCCCTTCTCATTTACTTCTCCTTTCAGGATTTTGGGCATGGAGGCATACACACCCAGTGTGTTTATCAAACCTCCAGATCCAGGACTAGGACTACATGCTTGGCCATGTGGGATCTAGCCACCTTAACCACTGAGCCATGGCTTAGCCCTATACCTAACTCATTTTTAGGATATTTATAAGATAGCTATAATTCAAAGAATTTTACCCCAAGTCACAAATTAGTAGTCTCCACTTTGGTGAGGAAAGGGAGAATAGAAATTCTCTAAGAAAATATTCTTTATTTTCCCTTTCCTTTGAAATAAAGAAACTATATTATTTTTAGACAGAAATAATTATTGGCAGTTGAACCTTTAAATAGGGATGAATCAAGCAGAACTCTTAAAAACTTCTCAGTGAGATTATCCTACTCATAAACTAAAACAAATACATATTTCTTAGTACCTATATCTTTTAAGCTCACTCATAGGCTTTGGGTTCAGGGCTATAGTTCAATAAAATTTTAAAAATTAAACTTAAGAGACCAGGAGGTAGTGTGCTAGTTAAGGTACTGGACTCCCACATGGCCGACCGTAGTTTCCATCCCAGACCCAGCAGCTTGAAAATCTCACCTGGCGCTTGTACGTGTGTACCCAAAACAAACCTATATGAAGTAAAATCCATTAACACTATTCCAGATAGAAATTTAACCCTAAGAAACATAAGATAAAAAGTTCAGAAGTAAATACACTTAGTCTTCACAAAGTTCATGGAAAATGCTTATTATGAAAAACTATATATAACAGGTTTAAAACATTTTCTGCACCAAAATAAAGTTGCACTTTAATTCTATTTTCTTCATGACTTTTTTTTTTTTTTTTTTTTTTTTAGGTTTTTGCTATAGGGTGTACACACCAGAGAGAGAGATATCACCCCCAGGGAGGATGGTCATGCTTTAATCCCCTGTCTTCCATTCTCTTCTCTGGATTTTAGGCACACATGTATACATGTCCAGAGTGATTTTCAAGCTGCAAGGTCCAGGACTCAAACTGCAGTCAGCCATGTGGGAGAGCAGCGTCTTAATCACCATGAAACCTGCTGGTCCCTTTCATGAACTTTTTAAGTCCCCTTGTACCATGTTGTGTAACATTTTCCTTCATTAAAAACAAAACTAGGGTTAGTCCATGGCCTATTGGTTAAGGGAACTGGATCCCACATGTCTGATTGTGAAGTTTGAGTCTTAGTTCCCAGCTTGGGGGTGAAGGGGACGATCTGATCTGATTTATAGGAGCTAAATAATGAACTTTTCACATTTTCACTTCAAAAGTTAATAGAAACAAAATTAACTTTGTTTAGAATATGTCCTTTGATCATATGCAGTGTCTGAAATGATTCAGAAAGTGTTTTATTACCTTACCTTTCATGTACAAATGTCCGTATAGACTCAAAGTATAAAAACACTGTGGAGGTCAATGTAGTTAAAAGAACTTGCAGAGAAAGGATGCTATAGACTTTTCTCAGGAAGGCTAAAAGAAAAAAAATAATAACACATGACTATTAAGCATTTATCACAGAATAGCAATCAATTTTTTTCATAGAAAAATTAAGTGGGTTTTTTTTGCTTTTTTTGTTTTGTTTTGTTTTTGTTTTTTATTTAGAGGTTTTTGCCATAGGCCACGTGCACTCACCAGAGAAAGAGACAGACAGTGAGAGGGAAAATGAGAAATCATCCTCTGGAAGGATGGCCATGCTGCAACCCTTTCCCCTCTATTCTTCTCTGGGATCTTGGGCGTGCATATGCATGCACCGGGCTCTATTTTTTCAAGCCACCAGGTCTGGGACTCTAACCACAGTTGGCCATGTGAGAGTCTAGTGATGTAACAACTCTGCCATCTGCTTGGCCCCCCAAAATTAAGTTTCCATATGCATCTTTTTGTCAAATATCACTCAAAATAATGTAATCTGTGACTAAAATTAGAAAAAAATAAAAGGATGCCAAAATAATTCAAAAAGTTTAAGGAATATCTATTGTCTAAAAAGTATAGCTTAAAAGAAATTAAGGAACCAGAACATGTTTTCATTAAAAATTAAGTGTTAAACACCTACTTGTGTAATAATAAAATTAAACTGTGCCTATCCTGTTTTGTAAACATAAAGTTTAACCTTTGCCTTTTTTGCTTCTGTACTAAAGCTGATGCCGCTCTCATTATAAACTGCTAAAGTTGTGGAAGCCCGGGGCAATTTGCTAGCTCCGTGTAGAAAGCCCCCTATCTTACTTTCTCATTCTTTCCACAGACTTGTGTCTATATAACCTGAATGCCCCTTTGTTCAGGGCTTCACTCGCCACCGTGTCTTGCATGACCGGGAGTGAAGTCCTAGCGCGCTAGAAATAAAGCCTCTTGTATTTTGCATCAAGAACCGACTTTTGTGGTTGATTGGGGTCGCCATAGCACTCCCTGGACAAGGAGGATCGGCTCGTTATCAGCGAAACCTTTCACTTGTACACAACAGCATAAAACAAAGCAAAATAGTAATCATGTATTTTAAAGAACAATTCTATCTTGAATGGGAAAAGCAGATAGCTTAATTGAAGGGTTAATTTTCAGTTGTAAAAAATGTTTCATCAAGGGCAACCTATTTTCTGGGACCTGTCCCTTCTTGGGAGCTCTGTTTTTTCTTCCCTCTCCTTTACTAAATTCACCACTGTGTAAATAAACTCACCGCTTTGATATACCTACTCTCTGTGTTTGCGACTCTAATTCTTGAGCATGGAACAAGAACCCATGTCTCACTGTGAGTGTGGGCCCAGTCATATTTTGGTGTGTTGGCCAGGAAACATCTAGACTCCCCTTCTTCATTCCTAAGGTGCTTAAAACATCCTTCAGTTTCTACTGACAGTTAAGTCAAGTTTTTTGCTATCTTTGACAAGGTTTCCCCAAAATCCAGTTCTAAATTGAGTTCTTTTGATCTTGAAATAACTTGAATGTTACAGAGGGCTCCTGAAACATCCAAAAAAGAAGTGTTAAACCAATCAGTCTTATTTTTTTCTTTTTTAAAATCATTTATTTATATATTTTTACATTTTCCTACAAACATTTACTTTACATATCAAAACAATTTTTTTGAAGTTTTTTTTTTGCTATAGCGCACGTGCGCTCACCAGAAAGACAGACAGAGATAGAAAGCGAGAAATCACCATCCAGGAGGGATGGCCACACAGCAATTCCTTCTCCCCCATTCTCCTCTGGGGATCTTGGGCACACACGCACACGCGCCCGGTGTGATTTTAAGCTACCAGGTCCAGGACTTGAACCGCGGTCAACTACATGGGAGTTCAGTGACATAGCCATTACGTTAACTGCTGGTCCCCATATCAAAAATTTTTTGCTCAAACTCCATAGTTCTTGACAACTTTCAAAATTTCAAAAAACTAAATTTTAAAGATAATGTTTGAAATATTTGTTATAATTTTGTTTGTGACTCTGTAACAGAGACAGTATGGTTTTAAATATTTTTGAGAAAATACTTACAGGTCAACTACTCAAACTATTGAAAGCAAACACCTAGCACACAACTCACACATAAACCTCAATTCAGCCCTGCCTACCAAGTATTCTGTGATATACCATCTGCTAGCAAAGATCAGTCTCTTTTTTTTCCCCTTCAAACTTCCTCAAAATAATCCTCTGGTTTTGGCTGCTCTTTTGTAATCTACTGATTACAATGCTGGACTGGAAAAGTCCAGGTTATTTTATGGTATGAATTCTTTCATATAGCTTCTCTAATCTTTGTCAGGCAGAAATGTTTATGGTGCCAGGCCATCTTTCTAAGAGCTTGAGTTGGCTTACTTGAGATCTACCTTAGTTCCACAGTTTTCTGGTTTAATCTTCAGATATGACATTCCAGTCAAAGCCCTGTCCAATAACAAATATTTCCAATTTCAGGTTCAAGGCAACAGGTATTATTGAATTTAAACAAATAACCATTCTGCCACAAAATAAGAGTACTCCCAAATATTTTCCAATTCCAGAGGGGTCAGGAAGGGAGAAAAGTTTTTTCTATTTAAAGAAACAAACAAAGAAGAAAAAAAATATTTTAACAAATTGCTTAACCTATCAACAACTCAAAATAAAGCAAAATCCTTAAACTGGGAAAACAAAGCATAGTAAAGAAAAAGACCATAATGTTTTACTCAAAAGTCATAAAATTCTATTTCACCAGTTCAGTCTTATGTAATTAATCTTTCTTGTGTTGAATTTGCAGTGTTACTGTGGTCTGATCTTTCCCTTTAAATCCTGGAAGTTAACATTTATCGTTATTATTGGTATTTCTTGTCCCTAGCATTAAGTTGGTCATTTTCTTGGGTTGCTTTTTGTTTTCTTATTCCTGTATGTGTGTCTTTAGTTTTCCCGGTAAAGCACCTCTTTTAGAACTTCTCAAAGAGCTGGTCTGGTATTGGAAAATTTCTTCTCATATGAAGGATAATCTTGCCGGATATAGTATTCTTGGTTATCGTTATTATTGGTATTTCTTGTCCCTAGCATTAAGTTGGTCATTTTCTTGGGTTGCTTTTTGTTTTCTTATTCCTGTATGTGTGTCTTTAGTTTTCCCGGTAAAGCACCTCTTTTAGAACTTCTCAAAGAGCTGGTCTGGTATTGGAAAATTTCTTCTCATATGAAGGATAATCTTGCCGGATATAGTATTCTTGGTTGAAACTGTTTTTTTGTTTGTTTGTTTTTCCCAAGCCTGGCATCTCCAGCACCTTCAGCTTTCTGTATCCAGCTTTATTAAAGATAGCATTCATAAACAATCATGGTATTTCACGTAGCATGTGAGCAATCGTTAACAGTATACAAAAACTTTCAAACTCCCTTCCTTCAATGGAGTACCAAAATCAGAAAGCCACTATAAAACCCAATGAAGTCTTCATTTGATGCTCTGAACAGAGAAAGTTTAGCACGTTGTTTAACAACTTTTCACGAGCCTACCCTTACTTCCAGGAAATGAAAATGGCAGAATTATCAACCTGAAGATCTAACAATATAGAAAAGGAACTGCTGCTCTTCTGAAGAATGCCATCTCAATGTCATCGGAAAGCCCAGATTACCTGATGTACTGGTATAACCAATTTTCTGTGGTCAGGTCCCCACAGGTCTCTGGTTTAAGGGATTTAAGTCTATGCTGAAGGCAGAGTGGGAAAGGACATAAAAGCAAATGTTAAGTTTTCCATACCACAAGACATCTGTGCCAAGGTGGCTATGTGTGTCAGGGAATCCCTCCTCTTGGGAGCCAAGAAGAAGTCTCTCAAAACTAGAAGGGAAAGATGTTGTCCAAATCAATCCAGCTTCAGAGACATTCTATTAGTGACAAATGCCCCTTCCCCAAAAAACAACAATGATGTGTTCTGTGTGCTATCGACATAGCTTTAAAAAAAAAAAAGGTAAAACAAAATTCTGCATTGTTATGAAACTTGATAAAAAATAGCATTTCAAACTATTCAGTCACCAGAAGTATAGAGTTATCAAAAATGCACACACTTTACCTGGCATCTCCAGCACCTTCAGCTTTTTGTGCCTGGTCTGTTTTGGCATCTCCATTTTCTGCAGGGTTATTCCCATCCTTGCCAGCATCAGCTTTTCCCTCTTTTCCTTTGGGTACGTTCTCTCCCTTCTTTACAGGGGCCTTTTTAGGCTTGGGCTCCGGCTTTGGAGAAGCAGGTTTCACTGACAACCTTGCAGATCTTCTCTGTGGTTCGTCCTTCACCTTGGTTTTATCTCCTTTAGCATTCTCTTTAGCCTTTCTCTTGGGCATGGTGGTGATGACGGCAGGACATAGGCGCTGAACCCAGGATGCAGCAGCATGCAGGCTTTGGTCAGTCCAGAGATCGCTCTTGCCTCTTCTTCACACTGCTCTGAAACTTTTTCACTTAATGCTTTGAATACATTTTCCCATTTTTTTCCTTGCGTACACTGTTTCTGATGAGAGGTCTGATGTTAGCCTGATAGGATAACCCTTGTAAGTAACCAGAAGTTTCTCTCTTGTTAATTTTAGTATCTTGTCTTTGTGTATGGATTTGGCCAATCTGGCTATGATGTGCCTTGGAGAAGATCTTCTTGGGTTGATTCTATTAAGGGTCCTTTGTATGTCTTGGGTCTGGATATTTGAATGCCTCTCTAGATTAAAGCACATTCTTGAGATATCTGCAGACCTGAGCAGCATTATTTACAACAGCCAAGAAGTAGAGGCAAACATCCGTCAATGGATGAATGAAATCGAACAGTGGCAACACACTGTCAGAGTGACCCACATAACAGGTTCTGGGCTCATGTTCAGAGACTTCCCTAAGTATGCCAAGCAAGTAGGAGCCCATGATACTGGGCAGGTTGAAGCTAGGGGTAGATCATAGCATCAGGACTTTGTTGGGGGGTATTGTCTTTCTCTCTCACTCACAGAAGAAATAAACTTTAAAATATATATATTATTTGTCCATAAAAAGGAATGAAATTCTTCACACATAGTATAACATGGATGTACCTTGAAGAGATTATGCTAACTGAAATAAGACAGTCACAAAAAGACAGAACACTGTATGAGTCCATTTACATGAGGTATCTACAACAGTCATATTAATAGATACAGAGTAGATGGTGTTGCCAAAGGCTATGGGAAGGAAGCAATAGGACATTGTTTAATAGGTATGGAGTTTTCACATTTTTTTTAAAGAATTATTTTTTGTGGGATCAGCAGTTGGCATAATGGCCATGTCGCTGGACTCCCATTTAGTCGACCACAGTTTGAGTCCTGGACCCAGTGGCTTGAACTCACACTGGGCATGTATGCGTGCCTGCCCAAAATCCTGAGAGGAGAATGCAGGAAAAGCGACTGCGGCATGGCCATCCCCTCTAGGGGGTGTGGTGGTGGTGATTTCTCGCTTTCTGTCTCTCTGTCTCTCTCTGTCCTTCTGGTGAGTGCACATGCCCTACAGCAAAAACCTCTCCAAAAAAAGAATTATTATGTTTTATTATTTAACGTTATTTATTTTAATTTGACCAAGGAGGGACAGAGTGAGAGAGAGGGAAAGTGAGAAAGCAAACAGCCAGGTCCAAGACTCAAACCATGGCCGGCCATGTGGGAGTACCAGTGCCCTTAACCACTGTGCCAACTGCCCGCCCCTACAGTTTCCACTTTTGTAAGATGAAAAAGTTCTGGAGATTGGATGCATAACAATATGAAAATACTTACAATTACTGAACTATACACTTAAAATGGTTACAGTGATAAATTTTGCTATGTGTATTTTATCCCTTGATTTAAATAGTTAATTAAAAATGCTGAGCTCACCTGCCAAAATAATTTAAAAATTCAATTACATAAATATAAATGCTAGGTACCAAGATTCTCAGCGCAGGGCCCAAATATGGGAAGGTTCCTGGTTCAAGTCTGAAGACCTCCCTAAGTAAACCAGGCCACACATTTGCTTATGATCACTGTCTGGCTGAAGGCTGGGGGTGAATCAGAACCCTGTTGGATGTTCTGTCTCTCTTGTTCATGGAAAAAATAAACCTATAGAAAAAAGTTATCAGTGTATCAGAACTTCATAATTCCTTTTCCAAAACAAGTTCCAACTGCCCAGACTTAAACTGAGAGCATGGTGAGTGGGACCAGCAGATGGCGAAATGGTTTTCTCACTAGACTCCCACACAGTCTACCCTGTAGGTGGAGTCCTTGACCTGGTGGCTTAAAACTCAGGCCAGGGGTGTGTGTGTGTGTGTGTGTGTGTGTGTGTGTGTGTGTGCAAGCGCGCCCCCAAGATGCCGAGAGAGAGAAGAATGGAGGTGAAGGGATTGCTGCATAGCCATTCCCCCGGAGGGGTATTTCTCCGTTTCTGTCTCTTTAACCAGCGAATGGCCATGTCCCTGGACTCCCATTTAGTCGACCACAGTTTGAGTCCCGGACCCAGTGACTTGAACTCACACCAGAAGTGCCCAAAATCCTGAGAGGAGAATGCAGGAAAAGGGATTGCGGCATGACCATCCCCCCTGCGGGGTGATTTCTCGCTTTCTGACTCTCTCTGTCTTTCTGGTGAGTGCAAAAAATCTCTCCAAAAACAAAAAGAAAACGTGCTGCTTCTGTGATCAAACAGCTGAATTGAATATGAATTCCACCTACATGACCACTTTAAATTCAAAATAATTTCTGTCCACTGGTTACTGAAAAAAATCACTTAAAACTAACACCACAGTCTGACGGGAAGCTTCTGTTTCCAGCGACTTCCTCAATAGTATTCAGACATGTTGAGCTTCGGGCCCTGCAGAAACTTATGAACGAGACAGTCGCCCCGCCAGGGATTACGTCCCAGCACAGGAGGCAGTGAAGAACTTACCATGCAGGGAGGCCCTCTCAAACGACAGTTGCTTGCTTTTGGTTTAAAGCAAAGCTGCTGAGGTCTCCACGCCCGTTCCTATAGGGCTTGGCTGACACCCTTCGCTCGCGGACCTGGGGCCCCGCCACCGGGGAGCCGGCTCTCCCGCGGAGCGCTAGGGACGGGCGCGCGCTCCCCGCCAGCTCCGAAGGAGGGCGCTCGTCCTCGGATCCCAGGCCGGGGCTGGCGCGCTTTCCCCGGAATCCCAGGAAAACAGGCGCTCTCCCTCTGAAGCCAGAAGGTCCCCTACACAGGCCGATGGGGCCGCTCAGGCGACCGACGGCCGCGAGGGGTCGAGCGAGGGAACCACATACCCATTCGGATGTGAATGCTGGCAGGCCCCCCTGCCATAGTTGAAGTCATCCTCGATAGAGGAGCGAGGGTAGCGGGAGCCAGAGTCGGCCATGTCGGCCACAGAAGCCTACCGACGCCGGCCGGGCGGGGGAGACCACGGAGCTGGCTCAACGGCCTGAGACCAAGACCTACTTCCGGGCCGCGGCCCTCCAGGCCGGGCTAGCCGAGCAGGCCGAGCTAGCCGAGCTGCCTCGGTGGGGAACCCCGAGCTAATCGATGGCCTCGCCCCAGGAATTCCAGGTGGGCTGAGCAAGGGGACATTGCTTCACACGGGAGGGAGGGGGCACAGATCTATTCCTAGCGTCATCGGAAGTGAAATTTTTCTCGGTTTTCTCAGCAAGCTTTTTAAATCTACTCAGCCTCAGCCGAAGAGTTACTAAAAGTGATACGACTGCCTCATTTATCCACTTCTTTAGTAAGTACACCAGGATCTCACTTAGGATTCCGTTATTTTAAATAATAATACTCGCTACGTTTATTGAGCACGTTTTATAAACCAGGCTTTCCAAATGAGGTAAAGCTTAGTCCTAAAAGGGAAGTAAGAGCCAACCAGAGAAGGAAGCAGTGATGAAAATTGGTTCTCAAGGGTCCAACCTCTGCACAGGTCACAAGGCTAAGCTTAGTTGGTGGAGGGCACAGGTGGACGAGAATAAGGCTGACAGGTAAGCAAAGTCCAGATCACTATATGGCAAAGATAGAGCACATTGGAGAGGTTTGTGACCAAAGAAGGAAAAGGTCACCAGTAGCAAATACAGTGGAGCAGAGTTATATTCACAATGCTGTTGTCATTCCGTCACCAAGATGGGGTGTAGATATACTCAGGTACTCAGGTCATCGCTTGGAAACATTTTGATGAGTTCACTTTTGGTCCACCCACATTTGCTCAATTCCCACTTAAATTGTAGCACGCAAAAGACTCAGCAAATGGAATGCGAAATAGCTGTGGAATAGTTCTCTAGGGGACTTGAAGAGTTCATGCATAAAGTGGAAATCAAGTATGAGTTAATTTGGGTGCAAAAAAAACAAAATCGAAATCTAGACATGATTTTTATATAATATGTATTTTCCATGACCTTTTTGAAAACCCTGCATATTCTTTTTTTTTTTTTTTGAGAGGTTTTTGCTATAGGGCGCATGTGCTCACCAGAAAAACAGAGAGAGACAGAGAGACAGAAAGCGAGTAATCACCCCCCCCCCCAAGGGAGACGGCAACGCTGCAATCACTTCTCTGCCATTCTCTCCCTAGGATCTTGGGCAGGCACGCACATGTCGTGACTTTTAAGCCACCGATTCCTGGACTTGACCACAGTCAACTACATGGGAGTCCAGCCACATAACCATTACTCCAGCTGCTGGAAGACCCTCTATATTCTGAAACTAAATGCTTAAACTCAATGTTATCACTTTTGTTAAAAAAAAAACTAACCTCACTTCTATAATGAGAATTTTTTTTTTTTGGAGAGGTTTTTTATACAGGACGTGTGTACTCGCCAGAGACAGAGAGAAATCCCCCTCCCCCTGAGGGGATGGTCACGCTGCAATCCCTTCTTCTCCATTCTCCTCTCGGGATTTTGGGCACATACGCACACGCCACCGGGTCCAGGACTTGAACCGTGGTTGACTACATGGGAGTCCAGCAACATAGCCATTATGCTAACTGCTGGTCCCGAGAATATATATTTTTTTAAATCTTATGATTTTACAAAGGAATTTACAAACGTGTTACTCATTTTAATACAAAGCCATAATAATATGATTTACTATAGAGGAAAACCTGAAGTTGAACTGAGAACCTACCTTTTATTAACTAAAAACAGCATTAGCAAACTTTGATTCCCTTCCTCTTATCAATTACAAAAATAAATTCTAGATGGACTGTAACTCTAAATGTGAAAGACAGAATAATAAAACTAGTGAGAATATCTGTACGATTTAGAGAAAAGCAAAGATATCTACAACCAGAGACTGAATAGCACTTTACATGAAAAGAAAATTGGACAAATATAACTGTATTAAAATTAGTAATCAAAGTACACTGTAAGAGAGTAAGCCATAGAGTAGGGGAAGATATTTGCTACACATATAATCTACATGAGGCCCTTTTCCAGAATATAAACCAATTTTACAAATCAAGACCCAAAACCACAATCAGCCCATGGAAAAATGGACAGAAGACTGGAACAGGCAACACACATGCACTCATGCACATACACACACACACACACACACACACAGAGTCAAATGACTGATAAATACATGAAAAGATGTTTATCCTCATTAATAATCAGAGTGATGCAAATAAATGCCAAAATGAGATAACTGCATACCCACCACATGGTTAAAATTGATATTAAAAATACCATGTGTTGGCAAATCTGTGGATTAAGAAGAACTCAAACCAAATCTAGGCATATGACCTGCGGATTGCATTCAGAAGGACCCTACACTTGGCTTGATGCTCAGATGTCACTGTTTTTTGTTTTTGCTTTTCCAATTAATTTTATCTTTGAACATGTGGTTTGGTTTCTTAGAGAGATTTTTGCTATATGGTGTATGCACTCACCAGAGAACAGAAGAGACAGAGAAACAGAAAGCGAGAAATCACCCGACTGGGGAGACAGCCAAACCACAATCCTTCTCCTCCGTTCTCTTCTCAGGATTTTGGGCATACACACACAAGCACCCAGCGTGAATTTTAAGCCACCAGATCCAGGATTCAAACCACAGTCGACTATGTGGGAGTCCAGTGACCTAACGATTATGCTGTCTGCCGGTCCCTGAACATGTGTTTTATAAGTGAAGTCTGAAAAGAACAATGTAGCGTAAGCAGAAGAGGTACATATAATATGATTGTCCACTGTTCCGTGCCAACCGTTACGTTAGTATCTAGCATTCAGGATGCTCCATGAGCACAGAATTCTGTTGGACCTACAATACAAGGAAGTTAGGCTAGACTCAAAGCCAGTACAAGATAAGCATGTCACATCAAGGACCTAGTAGAACAGAGGAAAGAAGGAAGCTGACAACCCCAAGAAGTCGTTTCCCTTACCAATCAGTACTTGGAATGCAGAAAAAAAAAGGCACTGATATTCGAAAAACATAAATGATCAATGGAGCTTATGTTCTCTTTTTTTTTTTTTTTTTTTTTTTTTAAGGAGTTTTTTTTTATGGGAACCAGCAGTTAGTGTAATGGCTATGTTGCTGGACTCCCACATAATTGACCGTGGTCCTGGACCCGGTGGCTTAAAATTCACGCCAGGCGCGTGTGTGTGCGTGCCCAAGATCCTGAGAGGAGAATGGAGGAGAAGGGATTGCGGCGCAATCACTTTCTATCTCTATGTCTCTCTCTGTCTGTCTGGCGAGTGCACGTGCCCTGTAGGAAAAACCTCTTAAAAAACAAAAACAACAAAACAAAACAAAACAAACAAAATGTTTTTTTGGAGAGGTTTTTGCTATAGGTGTGTGTGCTCGCCAGAAAGACAGAGAAACAGAAAGTGAGAAATCACCCCCCAGGAGGGATGGCCACTCTGCAATCCCTTCTCCTCCATTCTCCTCTTGGGATCTTGGGCACACATGTACATGTGCCCAGCGTGAGTTTAAGCCACCAGGACTTGAATCACGGTCGACTACATGGGAGTGAGTCCAGCAACATAGCCATTATCCTAGCTGCTGGTCCCGAGCTTATGTTCTTTACTTGCATTACTTCTGCGTATTAGCCAACCATTTACACTAAGCAGAGATATAGAAGGAAAGGGAAAGATAGGGCAAAGTACATGACCAGAGTGTTGGCACTGTCAGCCACCTAGTTTCTTTTTCTCTCAGTTCATCCTTAGCAGTAAGTTGGAAATAGAGAGTATTGGTAGAGTGTCCATGTATCAAAGTGAAATAAAAACAGTTGAGTTGTGGCTTTAGTCCATTTTTCTGTTGCTAATAACCATCACAAACCTGGTAATTTGTAAAGGAAGATTTATTCATCTCATGAACTTGAAGGTCCAAGGTCAGGGGGCCACATCTGGTAAAAGTCTTCTTGTTGATGTTGAGTCTATAGAATCAAAGGTGGCACAAAGCATCACGTGACAAGAGGATAAGAATATATGTGAACTCTGATCCCTCTTTCTCTTCCTATAAAGCCATGAGTACTCAATCATGAGAGCCCTACCCTGGCGATCTTATCTAACCCAAATACTTTAAAAGACTTTACTTCTTAATACCATAGTTGAATTAAGTTTTTCCCTTCTAAATACTATTGGGTCATCAGAAAAGTCATTATGTATTTTTCAATGTTTTCTATGCAAAAAATGTGTTGTGACTTTTCCAACAACCTAATATCACAATAACAACTAAATTTCAACACATGAACTTTTAAAGGACACATTCAAACCATAGCAGTTAGTTCTGTGCAACTGTTCCACAGTTCTTGTAGGACAGAAATATATGTGCATGTATAAGCAATGACATATAACTTGTGTAATTTCAGTAATTCACATATGAGTTAAATGTTCCGTTAAAAGTTGTATTTAAAATTGATATTGTACAATGTAAAGGCCAATAGTAAAATCTGTACTAAAATTATAAATGTTTTTTTCTTTACTTAGAATGATGTTAAATAGAAGTAAAAAAAAATAAAATTCTGACAAGTATAGTGAAAGAAGTAAAAAACTTTATATTCTGTATATTTTTCTACCTTTAATGGACTTTCTTTCTGATTCTTGAACAAGAGGCCCCACATTTTATTCTGTATTGAGTCACACAAACTATACAGCTGGCCTTGACAATGGAGTGTACAATGGAGCAACCTTCTTGCATAATTGCCTGACAATGTCTGCTGAAGCAGAATATGACTCAGCAATCTCTCTCCTTGGTAAAGTGTATACCCAACAGAGATGCATATACCTATTTACAAAAACAAACAAACAAACAAAAAAGCAGCATTATTCATAATAGCTAAAAATTAGACATTATCAAGCGTCCACTATTAGCAAAATGAATAAATTGTGGTACAATCACATAATACTAATTCAAGTTGCAGCTATCTTTTAAAAAGTTTTTATTCATAGAGTTTTATCTACAGCTCAACCTTAGGAGTCAGAGCAGTGACGATTTATAAGTCTCATGGATTGCTGAAAAAGAGCATAGACTTTTACACT